TTGTTTGCTTTGGGTTTAAGTTTTGCATCTTATGAAAGAGACCTTTAAAAAAGAGCTTTATCAATTTTAGGAGGCATTCCTTTTACTTAAATTCTCTTCCTTTTGTTTCTCTGGACTTTGCACTACTTTCCAAGGAAATAATTATTTTCACCTCTAAACATTAACACTGGGATAGGATGTAGCTTTACTAAACACTAACGGGCTTATAATGAATTTTTTGTCTTCCTTAAAGAAGACAAAAATTGTACCATATTCCTAGTTTAGAAGGAACTTTATTTAGAAGGAAGTTTATTTGCCTCAGCTGCCTTTTGTCCCTCATGTAACTTTAACCTGTAAATATCAATAAAGACAACAAGCTGAAATCTTTCAGAAACTTCAATACAAAAAACCTAAACTGTAAAAATCTTTTGAGTTTTTTTAAGCATTAATCTCTGCTTCAAATTAAGCTACAGCACTACAATACTACCATTTACTTCTCAAGACAAACATCCTTGGCAGGGCTTTTAATTTATATGCACTGACTTGCCATCTTTTTTGATTTGCTGTAATTTTTTCATAGCACATCTGTGCAGATCCAGCCTTCCCAACTGTATTTCACTTATAAGACTGAACAAGTCTGGACACGGATTAGTGTATTACACTACATGTATCTCTAAGTTTTTAAATTCAAGTCTGCTTTTAAAAGCAGCTGACCTTCCCTAGTGTTTGCTATTAAAGATTTTAAACAATTGGTTGAATATTTTATTTCTTCGAGTCAGCTGTGGGCTCAATATAGCTCTGGAATCTTGACTTCAAGCAAACCCTCAAATTATCATTTGCCTTCCCCCTCTGAAATGTTCAACCATCAAAAAATCAAATATTACAACAGAAATTACCATGTATACACTGTTACCTTGTTAAACTCTTCATTTCTGTGGGCACTTTTTCATTCGATCTTGGCAGAGCAATTCAATTACAGGAGAGTGAACAATATCACTGACAAACACTATGGGCACAGTTAAAATGAGCCAAGGCTGAAGCTCTTCCCTCAGGCTGCAACCATTTATTCTGGAGTCCCATTTATTTCAGCTACAGGGGGTGATTTTAAATAATTGGCTTCAACAAGACAGAAGTAATTTTAAGCAGAAGTTCCTCCAGAAAAGGAACCAAAGTTCCCACTTTTAACATCTCTTTTAAACAAATCATGAAGACTAACCTTTAGAGCTATGCAAAGCAGCATTTAAAGAGACACTTTTCTGAAGCATTGCTTCTTAACTGAAAATCAACACTATTTAAAAGCTTCCAAAAAAAAAAAACCCCACCCATGGTTTCAGATCACCACAATTCCAATTCCAAACCACTCTCTAGACAAAAGAAAAGTATTTTACAAACAATAACCATCTGAAAACAGGTTTTGTTAAAAATTACCTAAAAGCATTACTTACTATCACAAGTGCATTTGTTACTGTTATTCAAGTGCTACCAAGTGCCCTGGTTATAATAACAATCCAGAAGTCCAAGCTGCTGTTTGAAAATGCCTCAAGTTATTATTTTCCTTTCCAGAAGTTGCCCTTTCTCCAGAGGCACACTGCTTTTTCTCCTGAATCTCTGGCAGGCATACATTATAGATGAAATTCCCTCTTCCAGATCTTTGCCCTTAGAAACACACATCACCCATTGCACATCTATGGACAGGAAGGTGGGACTGCCTTCCCCTGCACTGGGGAACAAAGTTGAGCAGTAAGGCAAACAAGCTGTGGCCTCCAGATTCACACCTGGGACCCTTCTTCAGTCCCACCACCCCGGCTGCGGCTTCCTCACAGCCCCGACACCCCACCGGCCAAGCGACAGCCCCTGCAGGCTGGGTGCTGCCAAGCAGAATGCTGGAACATCCTGCACTAATGTAGAGATTTTTCTCTTCCACCTGCTTATTTTCATAGAACTTATAGGGAATTAGTATTTGCGACTTTATTCTTTTCAGCAATTAGCTAAAAACTAACAATGGTTTAGACAAAACTAGAGGCAAAAGAAATGAAAGAAGATTGGTGGAAGGACTAATAGGAATCTGATCACTGGTCTCATTTATTGACCAGAAACCAGGCCATCAAATTCTGATTCTGATCAGAGTTCCTTATTTATTTTCACCCACATCAAAATACTTTTCCATTGAGAGGAAATCCTGAATTACAACTACATAATGAGAACTCTTAAACAAACAATTCTCAACACAGAGTGGAAGCTTGGTCTGCAGCCAACGAGCACTGTTCTCATTTAGCAGGTATTTAAAATTACTACAAACATTTTGCTTAACACTACAGCACCACTATAAACTTCCTTATCCAGCAAGGGAACAGATGAAAGGTTAGCATTCAGAAGCTCTGCACTATACCAAATTCCACCAAAAGCATGACTAATTCACCCTGGCTTATTATTTCCTGTAGCACTTCTCTATCTAAATAAAGCCATTTTCTGCCACAGCTAAAAATATTTTGACTTCAAAATTCTCTCTCACCTTTAACTATCTCCACTTGGAAGAAGGCAGCCTCTGAACCTACCTCCCTCACAATTAATGCTCACAGAACCCTCATATCACACTGTCTTTCCAGACACTCTAGGAGAGTCTCATGATTTGCTGGCAGTTTTCTTCTCCCCAGAGCCTGCAACTCTGGGGTTTGCTTTTTTGGCTGGGATTTTTCTGTTGTTGCTGTTTAGAGCTTTTTTAAAATCTTTTTGAGAGCAGATTAGCTTGTTCAGTACCTAGTGAAAACTACTTGATCTACAAAAAGTATTCCTGTGCAGCTTGTGGCAAATCTTGACTGCAAATGTTTTTAACAAGCCTGCCTTTTTCTTTTTTTTTCATTTCTTTACCTCCTTGGTTTAAAAAAATTGTCCAGACTCCAGATACTAAGATTTTAATGGACTACATTCCCCAGAATATTTTTTTCAGAAACTGAGCATTATATAGCATATTGGTCAATATGTCTGAGGCTGAAGAACAATACTCATACAACGAAAAGATAAAACCCCCCAAAACTTAAAGAACACAGTGTTGTATTAGATATTTAAACACAGAGAAAAAAGTAATCTAAAAGCTAACAAGTGAAAAAAACAGACAAGTGAAAAATGAATGGAATTCTGCAACTCATAAAAGGAAGTGGTTGTCTCAATACCAATGATCGCTTCTCACTGTAACACAACCAGATATGCCACCATTATTATCAGATCAGAGGCAAGATTATCTTGATTTTTCTCCAGTGTGAAAACAAGCTACTGAAGAGGCGCCCCTACTTTTTTGTTCCCAGAATTCCATGGTGAAAAAAAAACCTAGCAAACCTAGGGGGAACACCCCAAACAGCATGGCAGCACTTGGTAAGCCTTTAATGAGAGCAGTTTGGCTTTTAGATTAAATATAAGTGTAACAAACCTACTAAAAATAAAACAGCAAACCCTTACTCATACAGTGAATTCCATTTTGTCTAAAAAGCAAAAAAAGAGATTTTGTCTAAAAAGCAAAGGGATTTGTTGATGGTAAAACAAAAAGACCTGGTTCTTTATAGAAGTATTCAAATAATCACAGAATCCTTAGAGCTGGAAGGAATACCCTCACATTCCTCTAATCCAAGGCTCCTGCTCAAGTGGACTCCTGTGCAGCAAGTCACCCCACACTGCATCCAGCCTGCTTTTGAGTACATCCATAGATGGGAACCAGAATGTCTCTATACTACTAATTCCAGTATTTGACCACCCTCACTGGGAAAATGCAAGTTCAGAACCCTCTTTGGTTAAGAGCCTACAAAATCAGGTGGGTCTAGAAGGTCTCATCCTTTACAGATTTTTGATGCATGGAATTTTTGCTCCTATTCTCTTTGATAAAAGTCTCCCAGGTAAGGTGTACATAAATCCTTCAAATGCTGTATAGGATTATGCTAACTCTGAGAAACAAATAAGTCGCTCTGTGCATTCACAGAGCAACAGGAAAGAGAGCTTTCTGATCCCTCCATAGAGCAAGGTATTTTGGTGAGAAAACACTTCATTAGTGTCCAGAAGAGAAAAATCAAAAGTAATTAGAAAGTTCAACTGCTCTACAGGTTGAATGACTGAATGCAGGACACGTAAAAATATGTGCGAGTCACAGTAGCAAACAACAGCCTGCTTAAAATACTTTCTAATACCTAGCAGCACACATTCAATCTGTATTTCAGACTATCATCAATTTAAGAACATTATCATTTAAACACTATGAAGTAGAAAACATCTCCTATATTGCTTTCTTGAATGAAAAAACATACAACAAAAACCTTCTGTTTCACTCTTCTTTCTGAATTCAGGACTACAACTTCATAAATACTGTCAAATTGGCACGTCACTGCAACATGATTTTACATCTTAAAGTGGTTTCTGGTGAGCTAAACAATAAAAAGAGTTGATGCAGAAAGACAGATGATGCACTTGTTTTGAATAAAATCTGGTGGCTCAAATCCCTTTCTTTTAGAACCAACAATCAGATCTTATGATGTTAGGTACTGAATTTAGAGTGAAGTTTCTAAGCCCAACATATTTTGGTTAACTAATGAGGAATTATTCAAAATACTAACTAATGTCAACTTAATACTGCTTCAAAGTTTAAATTTTATTTAATGCAAGTGCATCTTCATTAATAATGACACTTATTCTCCAGGAAAACTCTTTAGAATTAGTATTTTTACAATTAATTTGGTTTTGAAAGCCAAAATATATTGCTGGTCCTAATATTAGTGCTTAAGAATTTCCACCAAGTTTTCTAACAATTTTTTCCTTGAGTATTACTTTGCATACTACATGTCTAAACATTTAACTTTTAAAACATCTTCCTTCAAAATATTATCTGATGGCTGTAGAAAAATGTTGGCTGTTCAACAGCTTTTGTATTTTTCATTATTTTTTCAACTCAAATCACAACAGGATTTAGCCATCTGTGGAAAAGGGATGGAGAGCACTCAGAGTTTGTATGCTGTCATTTAGAATTAGGGTTGATGTATTACCTCTGTCACAGCCCAGTGGTGTAAAAACTGGTCCAGATCAGTTAGGTAAAGACGGATAGGTGAAAGCTGTGTCTGGCTAATGTGTGGTTTTCCTCTAATGCCCTGGAGACTAGTCAGCTCCTCTCTTGAAAACCCTGGGGAAGAAGAAGCAGTACAACAGTATCACAAAACAAGTCAAACAGTGTTCTACTTCAACAGCATCATTGACAAACACTGTCTTTTACACTATGTCAACATAACAATTTTTTCTTAAAAGCTCTTGCTTGGTTTAATAAACTGAGTATATCAAAGTACAAATTTTGACTTTTGACAGAAAATAAAAATATTTTTAAAATCCAATAGTACTACAATGTGATATAAAAAAACTTTAAGAGGCCAGTGTTATGCCATTTTCAATATATGTATCTTAAAAAAAATAATAAAAATGGGTATAATGCAAACTACTTCATGTGCTCACAATAACTCAGTAATAAGTAATATAACCTCAGGGTTAAACAAAAATAAAATTTGGCTTATTATTTCTAGACAGGTATTAGATGTTTTAGTAAAACAGGATGACCACTCCGCAGGAGTTACTTGGGCTTTGCTTTCCTTTTCTCTGCTATCAGTTCAGCACTCTTTTTACCATTTTAGGAACAAAAAGGTAATTTTCAAAAACAAAGTAGCTGAACATTATAAATAACCAAGGCGATAAAGAAAACACTATTTTTTACCACAGCACAAGTCAGTGGGAGTTACTTCTCAGCAATATTACACCATTTTAAGCACTTAACTTACCAAGGTTGCATCACCACAGAATGCAACTATTTTTATAGCTGAGTAAGAATAGAGTAGCAGAAGTAGCTCTGCTCACACACTGACCTTGGCCAGCCTGCTTTAACGTACTTTGATTACTTTATTCTGATGGAATGCTTTTAAGAGCGTAAGCACATTCACAGGAAATCCCAGAGGCACTCATTTATATTGTTATGAGCCAATAAAAGGCATTTACTTCAAGCTAGGAAAAAAAATCTTGTTTAGGTCATATGCTAAATTTAGGTTTTTCTCATATTTTCCTGAAAAAGTTGCTAGAATGAAAAAAAAGTATGCAAATATTCAGCCCAAATGGAAAAGTATAAAAGTCGAGTGTCAAAAATCAGATTAAAAAAAAAAAAAATCTCATGTCAAAAATATATAACAAGATTAGAATTACTTTCAGGAAGTACTTACTAAACCATTTACTCTAAATTAAATTCAGTAATTGACTATCAAAACAAATTTAATTTTGTTAATTCTGAATTATTACATTCATGTGGATTACCTATAAGGGTTGAAAACAAGAAGCTGAAATAGTCCACATCACTCACTGAATTATCCTGCACTTGGCACTTCCAGCCTGCAAAGGATGATCTACACAAAACCAATAGCAGACATTTTATTAAAAATCATACAATTAAGAATTCACAACCGACCTGCACAATACAATCAATTAGCATGCCTAAATTGTTACAGTTTTAGCATTCCTGTTTCTAATTGTTGTTAGAATCACACTTTAAATAACTCCAAAACCAGAACCGGCTCTCTTAAAGACAAGACACACTGAACTTTGTACCCCTGCATAGCCTTAGGTTGCTAAAATGAGATGCTTACATTAACTATACCAATTTTTCATTAATACTGGTATAATCTCCAGTACAGTGATGACACTGCAAATTAAGCTAATTTTATTTCCCTAACTTGGTAAAAGTCTTTATATTACAAATGCCGTGCTGTATTTTTAATCATACCCACTACTTTTCATACACAAGCAACAAACCCCATCTGAAAGCAATCTCAACATTTCTTTCAGAGCTGCTGAAATTATTAAACACAGCTAAGTCAAAAAGTTGGTTGGAGATTTAGAACACAAAAAGGAGCAATACGCAAAGACAGGAGCAAACCTGTTATCAAAGCTGTCTGACACTTTCCATCTCAAGGGCAATCCAGAACAAGTGGAGCACCAGACTGCTTAGGTGGTTCAGTGCTTGTGCTTGTGGAAACTCAGCAAAGAGACACCAGTGACCACCTAATGGCAGAGTCTGGCCCAGGTGCCAGTGCTGGACCAGAGGAAGCCAGGAGCTGGGAACAAGGACATCTCACACATGTTTTCCTCACAAGGCTGCAGCCCAGACCCACATCACATTATACAAAAATGGATATTATGCAAATTGCCTTGTATGCTGCTTTTGGCACTGCAGACTATGGATCTTTGCTGTAAGAGATTGCTGCTTTCCACTCTTACAATCTTGTGAAATTTCAGAGCTTCTGAATGCAATTTTTCAAGCCAACTATCTGCCTCAGATCATTTTTTTTTCCTAATTTCTCTGTGCCAACAGCCAAAATGGCTTAGCTCATGGGTAACAAAATTCTGGAAAGCTTGTTATGCAGGAATTTTTTTACAGCTCCATGCTTTGGGAGCAAAAATATCAAATTTGGAATACTTTGTGCCAGGCATATACATTTTGCCACCCACAAAAATCCATCCATATTTCAGCATCCACAAAAATGACAGCTAGAATATGCACGTGTCTGGAGTTATTAGAAAAGAAAGGATAAAAACCCTAGGATTTTAGAATTTCTTTAAATTAAAGAAAAATTTCAGGATTCCACCAGACTACCATGTAGAATATAGTTAATTCTAGGGAGGCAAAAAGTCATAGGTGAGAGCACAAAGTAAGGCTTTATTAAATAAAGCTCCCGCATCACACTGAATTCTTAATGCCTGGCAGCAGGGATCTGCCTTTTTCAGGTGATGCAGTGACTCTGCAGGCATCTCTGTGTGCTCCCCTCTGGTTCCTAGCAGGCCTTTGGTCCTGCCCTGAGGCCTGGCTCACTACTTCCTTTTCTTAACCTGCTGTTCCTCAATCTCTCCTCAGACCTAAGGCTGCTACTTGGCTGCCAAGTTCTCCCAGGACATATGGCCAATGGTCTCCCAGGAGAACAGCGAATTTTTTCTGTCCTACCAAGGAGGTCCCAGTCCCATTCATTACAGCATAGAACAGACTTCACATATATTCAACTAAATCATCAAGAGCTCTTGCCACTACTTCCCTCCATAAGGTGGGATATTCACACAGCAGTCAGATCCATACACCAGAAGAGAGAGAGAAATCCATGTCCTATTCAGCACAGCAGAAGAATCTCCCTAAATCTGATGCAGAGACCATGATTCTGACTTGAGGTCATTATTTTTACCAAAATAAGCATTGAGGAGCATGGAGAGAGATTCAAGAGAGCTCAGCACTTGCTAGACTAGACACAGAAATTCAAACTGTGATGCGACCACTGAGCAAAAAGGTGGGAATGCAAGAGGCTGGGAGAGATAACAACAGATAAGAAGCTGAGACGGCAATCAGACAAATGTGAAAATAAATAAATCTTGGGTAGGAAAAGAGAAAGAAAGAACATGTGATAAGCCCCAATTCAGGAAGTAGGGACTTGCCTGACAAATCTTGTTAGAATCTGGTTTAAAATAATCAAATAAAAAATATTTTACCATATTGGAAAAAAACAATTTCCATATGCAACAGTTAGCAGATGCTTTGAATTCCTTACAATAGGACTAGTGCAAGCAAGAATTTTACATAACCTCCAGAAGAGACTGAACAAAAACTCAAGATTCACTGCAGGTTAGCAAGCAAAAACTGCAATAGGTTAAAGAGAAGCCTGGACAGGAAAAGTAATTCCAAAGCTTATTGCTAAACATCTGGAAATCAAACACTTAATCAGTTTTGTTTTCCCACGCATCTACAAACTCACAAATAGGACAAGCATGTTAAGCATCCTAATAGAAAGGCTAAGGGCACTGATACAGACATAAGAGGAAGCAGAGAGAATCCCTGTAGTTCAGCCCTGGGAACATGGAGGCAGCATAAGGAACAAACCCTTGACAGAGCTATTAAATGGTTTAATATTCATCTCTATAAGCAGAGCTACACTGAGTCACACATGCACGAAATCAAGATCCCCAAATTCAGCTGCAGTTTACTTTCTCAGTAAGTGAAAGCTATTACATGCAAAGAAGCAGCCTCAATGTTAAAAGAGCAATAAGGTTAAAAATAATCTAGTATTAAATTTAGAAAGTGACAGAGAAGGTTGCCTCTGATCTTCAGTTTGGCCCCTCTGTGCATACACCTTAGAGTATGATAATATTATGTGTCATATTTTCTCTTTAAAAAAATCTATGTCTCATTCAAACCATGGATGAATGGATCAATCAGGATTACACCATGAAGGATAACATAGTCTGACCTGTTCCTGCCTTATTTATTGCATCGTCTATATTGTGCACAGTGTATGAGGCATAATTAAAAATGTAGAAGAAAGTATTAGCTCGCAAATTCACGTAGGTTATATGAGATGAGAGATAAATACTTCTTAAAACTGGAGAAGTCAGTGGTAATACATTTCTTCAAGTATCAGATTTTTTTTCTTTTTTTTTTTTTTTTCTTACAGGCCAGAATAAGCTCACATTATTCATACTGGAAGCTTCTCTCATCCCTTTTTTTCGGCTAGTTATCCATAGTCCTGCAACAGCTCAACAGTGATTAAAAGATTAAAATGTCACTAACAGCTGTGGAAAGATACAATTTCAATTATTTCTAAGAGCAGCACTCATCTATCTCTACTTCTCCACTTGAACTTACAGTGAATATGAACTCAGTTTTTTGTTTTTTGTTTTTTGTTTTCAAGACAAATGATGGTCTGAAAAATCAGAGCCCAAATGTTTCATACTGGATTCCTGAAGCTGTCAGGTACTTACATTTATGTACTTCTGCCTACACCTTTTCCGTGCCTCAGTTCCTCATCTTTAAACTGGGAAAAACATCACCTTCCCATCTCCTGCAGCTGTGAAAATTACTTGAGCCCAACAAAAAATCTTCCCTGGGTGGGGGCAGGGGGAGGGAATCTCTTTGTTTTCCAAGTGAGACGTAATACAACAGAGGAAAAACATAGAGCCTCCTATTGAAACAGGGCCAAACTGTACCATGAAGTAAATGCTCCTTCAGCGTTCATCATGTACTCCGTACAGAAAGCAGGATGGAGGAAAAACATGAAATCATGTAACTGAAACACCACAAGAGAATCTCACAACACATTAAGACCAAAACCAGTGTCTTTCTAATACAAACACAAACAGAGCAGCATTACAGCATAGAAGTTTGCTGAAATAGCTGTCAACACCTCAATTACCTTAGAACCCAAGTGCCCATAATGTAGACACTTATTAAAGCTGCTCAATTTTGAAGTTCACATTAAAGAAAATAAAAAATAAGGTAAAGAACACAGAACAAGAGATTCCATTCTAGAACATATGTTGATGTATTACAAATACATTAAAATTACTTTTTAAATCTTAGTTTAATATATTAAGACTAGCATGAATAACTGGGGACCGTATGCACTTTGAAAATGCATTTTCATGATGCTTGTAAATTACATGTCAGACATCAAACTAAAAAAATTATCTGCTTTATATATGGAAGAGAGGTAATAAGCATATTATTATAACTTCTCTTTTTTGTATAAATTATTACTCACAATGGGAACCTGTTATCAAACTGCATATGAGTGAGACCTCTCCAGTCATGTAGTCCAAACCCACATTAACTATGATGAATTACATCTTGTAATTTCCATAAGGTCACCTGCTCTCTGTGGGAACCTCTCTTTTGAGGTTTAGAATTGCACCTTTAGGTAACCTGCTCTGTACACCAAATGATACTAAAAAAAAACCCTGAATCTAATTAACTTAAAAATTACTGCTTCTCTTGTCATTAGCAGAGCAAATATTTCTCAGTCAAAGCAAGTGTGCAGTGCATTCCTTTTATCACTTGCTGCAAACTTTTAACTCCAGATGGACTTCACTACTTCTGTTCATGGGCTCTTATTTTCATGTTGGCTATATCACTCAGCTGCAAAATAAAACAACTGCAGTTTATGCACAAGAAGTTATTCCTCAACTGCAGACTATTATCTCTCTATGCTTCCTGACCTAAACTAGCTACTAACTGATTTATGGTTCAGGTTTAGGTGTTGATTTTGGCTTATATGGGCACAAGGAGTCTTTGGGTAATTTTAGAGGTCTGTAGTAGAAGAACTCTGATGAACCTTTCTGCACTCATTTTAGAAATTATCATACCACTTGTCTTCATATAAAACACACTGCTCAAACTCCAGTACAGACAGCAATTCACCTGTCTAGCACCTGCTAAGCAAGTTTTCCTTAGAATTTGGACTGGGGGGGTGGGTTTTGATTTTATGTTTTTAGCAATAAAATTGAAAAAAAACTGTGACTAGTTTTAATCCCGAGTTCAGTCTCCAAGTATTTTTAAAGTAAAACAAAAAAGTAAATGCAAGATTCACAGTTC